TTTAAGCCCTACTCAGTCGGGTTGCCCAATAATGAAAATCTATTCTCAGTTCTATGTTGATTAAACTATATTATTATGTATAATAATCTGGTTGAAGAAAATCAATATAACACAGCCCTCCGGTGGGTATCAAGTTATGTGTATTTTTAATCCTTAAGGCGTAGTAAAGCACGTAATATGTAGAAACCTTCTTAACATAACAGGATTATCGTGCAGAGGCACGCATTTCAGGGCCGGATCACTCTTCACCATCGGCTCGGCTAAGGCACAGATTTTATTACACAAATGAGATTAATACACGAACGCACACGAGGTTGCGTAAGTAGGCTTCTAAATAATTTGTTCGTCGTTAGGCCTCGGCCTCGAATTTTGCGGGCAGCGGAGCGGGAGCGGGAGCGGCAGGATCTTACGCGTATAATCAAATGGACCGACCCTCGAATACAGCGGTGCCCGCTGCCCGCTATTTTGGAGAAATGTATGCGTTTTCGTGCCGCCGCCGCTGCCGCTCCGCTGTCCGCAAAATTCGAGGCCGAGGCCTTAGGCGTTCATTAAACAATCACCAGCCAATGTCGAATATGTTCCCAAGTATCATTGACGGATACGTGCCGACTTGTTTCTTATTGTGAGATTTCCCGTAGCGCTCGCTACATCATACTTTTGCGATGTCAATTAAAATGGAAACAAGAGTTGTTCCATCAAAAAGGTTATTTGTAACGCAGAGACAATCGACGCTCCGGGCGAAAACTGACAAACGACATTGCGATAGCGAGCGTCTAAACCGAGCTTTTGAACTTCTTTGACGCGCGACTCGATAAGCGTACCACGTTTTATTGTCTACCGATCTTTACAATGGTGTTCGTTTGGAGAGTTTTCACCCAGTCGTAAGTAGGTAAATGTGTTAGCGATTGACGAGGGACGGGACAAAAGGTTGAACGACACACCGCGTGTATTCACTGTAAGTTGCCGCTACGCCAGCTAAGATAATGATGACATTTCCTTCTTCAGCCCCTGTACATGGCTATCAATTTCATTTAATTTGCTGAGACGTTTCATTAATACGGAATTCGGTTAGTGGGTTATTGTTTGATATCTGCTGTACCTAATTATTAGGGTGTATGTTTTGTTTACCTACATGTCTTATGTGCGATTTAGTATTTCTACAGCACTAGTAATATGGGATATCTTAAATAAATCGCTTACAATTTATTATATTCTAATAAGATTACTTGAAATAATATTGCACTGTTTGTTACAAACATTTCCATACAGTTTTATACGTAAATATGACAAATGAAATGTGTAATTAAAACGACACCATTTGACAGCTTGTGACGCCTACCATTATTGTTAGTTATCTGTTAGGGTGGGCTTACTCCAGATCTGTCACAGATAAAATGAAACATTTCTGATGTACTTTAAGTTTTTACTGCCAATTTTATATATACTATTATAAGTGTAGATAAGATTATAATACAAATCTATTTTAATTCCTTCACATATTAAAATGTTTAGTTTTGACATAATTTATAAGGCTTATAATATATTGGAATTAAGATGTATATTTATAATGATTTATAACCGGCCTTGATTTCAAATGTTTAATTTTAACGATGTTATTATATAATCTGCGTCGTAAGAAAATATATCATCATTTAAAAAATGTTTATGAAATATTACTAACAAGTAAATAATAATCTCACGGTTAGCATTAAACATATTTTTTATTAGTGTAATCTTTTATATACAGTTTTCTTAACACCTGAATATTTTTGTTGAATTAAGTGATATACGTATACAGTATACGTAAACAGTATACCCAAGCTTATTATTAGTTTAGTTAAAAGTAGTCTAAAATTGAAGTATAAAACCTTTATATATTGGGAAAGATGAAAATGATTTATTTTAATTTAATTTGTTTCTGTGCAGCACACAAATAACGGCTATAAAAGGAGACGTGTGATGTCATCAATTAATCTGATTGAAATCTTTGACAATAACAATAAATTTAAGTCGTCTAGCAAATCTGATACATTAAAAGAGAATGGAATCTTAACGAGTGGATAATTTAAATATACATTTAGTTTTATTCATAATACTGAACATTTAACCTTTTTATATAATGTATTTGTCTGAAACTTTATTTTTATGCCAGTCATATATTATATTGAAGCTGTTAAGAATAAGAATATGAAATTGAATGATTTATTTTATATAAATGTGCTAACATAATTAATCATCATTTACTCTACTCATATGACCAATCAGTTAAAAAACCTTCTCACAGAATATTTCCTTCGCCAGTAAATTCGGTACATTTGAACTTTAAACGGCAGCCACGTGTTTCCTTAAATCAAGATATTTTTTATGGCTTACCGTCCAGAGAATTATATCCAAGTAACAAAAAAATAAAATATATAATAATTTGTGTTTCATTAATATTAAAATAAATGATAAAATATCTTAATTAAAATAAAATCATAATCTATTCCGTAAGTTCTTTGATAAAATATATTTGATGTCTTCTTCTATGCCAATTCATCTTTTCTTGTTACTTTTTAAAAATTAATTCTAATTTATTGACTACGTATAAACAGCCATAATGTTAATACAACTATGTATGTATAAGCCTCTTCCTTCGACCCTTGTAAGAGTATTTTAATGTACACAAGGATGCGATATATGTATTGTTTAGTTGAGAATTAGTCCGTCTGCGATGGCCAGGTGAAAGTTTGTAAGGGGATTACTTGACGGACTTAGGTGTTGGCCATACGTCACTGTCCTCGATTTGATTATCAAATTTGGTTTTAAAGCTCAGTTAAGGGCTGAATCTGACCCAGCTTAGTATGGATATTCAATAATAATAATGTTCAAACAACCGGCTATCTTATATAAAATATTTAAATTTAAATTAATTCGTTTAGATATGTCAATTTCTAACAAACCCGTTTCAATTTGCATAGCTTTATCTTAAACCCGAACACGAGTAATGAGGTATTAATGAGGTTAATTTAGAATCATTATTACTGTTTTATATAAAGAAGCTGTAGCTATAAATAACAATCATACAGATAAACTGATCCCAAATGATAGCAATTTAAGATGATATCGTGATAAAAACTCACATCTCCTACAATATAACCAGAATGAAGTGTTAAAATAATTTGAATAGAACTAGACGAGAGTTTATTTTATGTTTTTTAAACATCTTCATCTCGTATTTCCGTGAATAGGATTAATTAAAAGTAAGTAAAGTATTCTAAGTTTTAGATTAAGAATCAATACTAATATAAACGCGAGAAAAAAATCTACATAATAAAAGCTGTATGCATATTAATATGTCAATTATTTTCAGTACATAAAGAGATCTAAGACTTTCGCGAGTATTCGTTTGAATGAAACTTATATTTTCGGATTATACTATGCGTATTTTATTATTTTAAAACCTACATCACTCGTGATCACTACAAACTCGTGATCGCGGTTCCTGAAAAGTCACCGAAACGTTGGGTATATGTAGTTTTAAAAAAATAATAAAATTCGCGTAGTATAATCAGAAAAAAAATAGTTTCATTATTTCCAGTAGGTAATAGAGTAATAATGTTAAACTGTTATCTATTCTAAATATAATACAAACGTTAGATATCATTAACGCATAAACGGACCGGCGATTAGTATTTGCCAGGTTTCAGCATCCGGCACGCCATGTAAGTAGATCATCACTCACGAATGCAACACACGCAATATCCATTGTAAACATATCTATTTTTTTTAATCTAGTTACGTATTGTTAGTTGGTGTATTTGTTTACGAAATAAACATTGTACGTACATTTTTATTAATTTCACGTCAATTGTAATCATGTTTTATCGATCTTAACCGAGTCCTAGTTGAATACATCGCCATCTCATTGTTAATTCTTTAACAGCATCTTAATGTAAGTTGGAAGAGTTTGAATTACCATACTTAAATGGGATTAGAATATTAATTGTAAGGATTTGTTCGCATGTGAATAAGAAACGTTATACCTCATTGAAAAGCTCTTGTGTCCCGTAATACTTATAGTTGTATTCGGTACTTAAAATTATTAAATTCTGTATGCCTTGTCGCGTTCAGTATTTCTTGATCCGGGTGACATGGGGGTAGGGGCGTGAGCTTAAGGTGAATTTGATTCAACATCTCTTCTACATTGGTTTAAGTTTTAATGGCATGATGGGGCTTAATTCACTACCTTCAAAGTATGTACGTTTGATTTAATAGAGTATACATATATAAGATTATTTTCTTTACGGTTTGAGTTATTCCCTTAATGAAATATATGCGATAAGCTAGACGACGATAATTTTTTTTACTTCGATATTTTTCAAAGTACTTACTACTAATACTACTTATTTCAAATTGTAGTGAAAACTGTAACTTAATTCTCAGTTTAAGTTTAAAGTTTTAATTCACACTACTTACACGGATCCTTGACAGCGAACCCTTTGTTAACTGAACTCTTCAAGAGTACTCAGATCGGCTAAGCTTTCTTTTCCCTCTTCCACTCAAGAACGGCTAAGCTTCGAATGTTCTCTCTCATTCTTGCTAATTGCTATTTTATGTTAGCTAATGAACATTGTACTCGGCTTTGCAATTTACAGAACAAGTTCTTTAGGCGATTAGCGTCCTAGTTAGACGTGTCTAATCTTGTCTATAGTTGGAAATAAGCAGTGTTTACCAATTTTGTCACTTTAAAATTTAATACTCTAACATTAATAACAACTTTTTATAACAATATAAGTTTAATTCTTTTAATTATATTAATAACAAGGTGAGTTACATATATAAAATAACACAAAAGAAATTGGTACCGTTCACAAAATAAACAAAACAACATAATTGTAACAAAAATTAAATGAACACTATTTAAATTCAATTTCATAAATTCAAACATAACTATAATTTTTACCCTATGTAAGGTTATAACTGTTTCATAGAGACAAAACATTCATGCGAAATTGAAAATGGGGTATCAACAAAATATTAATAAAGTTGATAGCAAAGCTGGGGATCCAAGTGACCACGGGCCGGCTTCGGCGAGTTCAGGACTAAATCTCAACTAATCCAGCACGATATTATACCATAGGTGATAACCTGAAACTACCCTGCAAATCTCAGGGACTAAACAACCCGACTGGAACTATTGAAAGTTACTTATGCGATTATTACGGACCAAAATTTTGACTATTTTAAAGTAACTTTCCTCACAAACCAAGAGCGGTATTATCTAGATTATTGTCCTAGCAAATTTATAATTTTGTTAAGCGCGACTGTTATTTAACCGGTTATAGTGCTATGTAAATTAGAAGCTCGGGAAAGGTTATTGTTTCGTACGGTTATTGTAAATCAATTGTCGTTTGGATGGGCTTAGCTTGTATTGTATTAATTAATTGGCTGTTTTAGGAAACTTTGTAATATTTTTTACGAGGAAAAATATTAATGATTTATAATGGCGGAAGCACGTTGATAATTATTTTCCTCAGTATTAGAAACTCTTTACACAATTTAGTAAAAAGGGCATTGAGGCAAAAACTATTTAATATCGCATTTAAGAAGCATCTCTCAAAGACGGACGGTAAAAGCATCGGCACAAAGCAATCTCGCAACGGCCGCGCCGCCAGAACAAGGATTAATTATTATTTTAACATTTCACTCCGTTTTTTGCCGGCTCGCGAGCAAGTCAAAAGCATTGCATTTTCGCTTGAAAAGTTGCTTAATAATTAAGACGCCTTCTTAACGACAGCGTTTCGACGTCTACCAGCTTAAGTGTCTGATTTTTCAGACATGCGTTAAAGGAAGAAGTTTTTCAGTGAAATTTTGTTTAAGTCGTCTTTAAAGTTACGTCAAAAATATGATACAGAATTTGTGCTTATAGAAATTTTTTAAGAATAAGAGTATTGTAAATTGATGACTTATAAGAATTTTATAATCCAGGTAAAACCTTGCCTGTCCATTGTGTGGTGGAAGCCGTTGCGTCGTTGGAGGAAGGTGTTTGGAGGCGAAGGGCAGTTGTTGAAACTGATAGTTATGTCATCATACCCGCTGCCACCGCCTTCCATGAGCTCGTCCCAGCGGCCATGATGCGACTTGGATACCCCCACGAGCTAGCTGCTTCTGCGAAAGGTAATATATAGTTTTATTCAAAACTTATAAATTAAGGACAACACAATTTGTGGCTTACATATATTAGGTAAAAAAATATTAAAGATTATTTTTTTGTCGCAGGTTCTGTGGTAATTAATAACTGGAAGCCGTTGCCGTTCGAGCGTATATCTGATGGGCCTTTAGCCACTGTCGGTGAAGTGTTGGGAGAGTTGACGACCGTGGCCACCCTTAGGATCCAACTGTTACGGCCGAGACCCACACCCTTGCAGGATATTAAGGACAAACTCCTGAGACTCCTGCTACTCCAGAGCAGACCCTTGTTGATGTCCACAGGATGTCCGTTAGATGAGGTATAGTTTATTAATATTAATTATTTAAAACCTATATAAGCGATTTAAGTCATTGAATTTCTGAATAATATTCATGAGATTAAATTACTACGCACATACTTGAGTATTAAACTACGTACTAAGTACTAAATATATTCACACTGAAACTTACGATAGTATTATAATAGTAAAATACTCAAATGTCAGCGAACAGCGCGAAACGAAGCATTAAAACCAAATTCTTGGCGACAAAGCGAGTTCGGTACAGTGAGCTGAGCCAGATTCCCAATGTCCCGGCAATGTTACGTTCTTTAATACCTGATTGTAAACCCGACCCGTACACAATGGCCACCCCTACAAACCCCCCACACCCCCACACCCCCTGTATTACTTTGTACTCATTGTTTTCAATATTTAAGCTGTATAATAACTGTATGCTCCCAATTGAAATATTTGTGGTAACGAGATTAATATTATTAAAATGGTCTGTTTATCTATAAATAATACAGATAAATAACTTAGGTATTTCTATTAATATAGAATTAATTGATATTTATATGACATAAAAAAAATTATTTAGATTGTTATTGTACTTAATTTTGGCTCTTATTATATTAAAAAGAATAGAAGGTTAATGTAAGACGAAATCAAAACATCTTAGGGATTGTGAATATATTTACCAACTCACAGCGACTTTACATTTCAAAACATACAACGAGGAGCTCATCAGAGCGGATTTTAACGATGAAGACAGATTACTAAAGTCCCGCTAAGTATGTATTCGGTTGTTATAATTTGCGAGGTCTGAGTCCCTGTTAATAAGTATCATCAAGAGAAGAATTAAGGAAGCATTTGTTTTGATGTTAACAGTACTCTCTCTAACAAAAGGAATGCATGTAATTTTTATAATTATGTATAATCTTAATATCAATAAACTTGAAAACAGATTACTTTTTATGTTGAGTGTAAGACATGATCGATTTGTTTATATTTTGGAAGTACCAATTAGCGCTATTATTCTCTAAGCGTTTACATTTTCTTTGGTATCATAAATCCCTTGGAGAAAGAGCAATTTGTCGACGCGATGAGCATCTCACACGGGATCTTCATACATAATAAATTTAATTGAATCTCAGACTCATCCGCGCTGCCTTATTATGTTTCTAAATAAATATAATGCTGTTAAAGTGTTACGGGTTTTAAAGGAGAAACGCTTTCATCGATCATATTAATGTTTTAATTGAAAAATTATTTCTAATAGATAAAAAAATCTACATTTGTTTTCTGTCGTCAAAGATTATGTTGTTAAATGGGTCTTTATTATCTTGATGAAGTAATTTTTAAACAGAAATTTTTATTGCAATAATTTATTTTTAATCTTAAAAAACATGCAATAAACCTACAGTAAATGTTACTCTTTACAGTTGTCGTTATAACAAACAAAATATTCAGTTTACACTTTGTTCCCGTCTTACCAACTTGAGGCAGAACGAAAGAGGGGTTATAGGAGTTTTAGATGTACGAACGCTTTTGATCTTATTAATACCATAAAATAATGCTTTATAATCATATTAAACGCAAGGTTAACGCTCAAAGCGCGCCCTTTACTCCGCCGCGTTTCGGTTTAGCGATATCAATTAATCTCGGGATACGAGTACATAATATATAATTTAGGCCTATCTAACATATGAAAATTAAAAGATGCTTAACATTGTATGCTGTTATTACAGTAGAGGTAACGAAAATTATTGTAACAACTGCAAAAGTAGAAACAAATGATCAAAAGGACTCCCAAAGGAAATGGATAATAGAACTCTTTGAACATCTCTGTTAAGTTAAACGCAAGATGAACTCAATTCTATGATATTATGGTAATTTATCGCTCTTCAACTTGAACCGCCTCGATTTTAATTCAGGGCAAACTTTTAAGATGTTCGGAAACACTTCGATGTAGGGTTACGAGAACGCCAATGAAGGATTACTTTAAGATTTTAATCATAAATCTACTTAGATAATTTTCTAAATAAAAACATGTCACGCATTAATTAAAAAATATATTTAATACTTTTTAACTTAATTTTGTATTAATAATCTATAATTTAGATAAATAAATATAGCGTCTACTTCTAATATAAAAATATTATTACCTGCACTCACTGGTACATTTTAAAATGCAGCATTTAGTAAACTTAAGTTATACTTTAAAGATTATTATCAATCAACTAATAATAAAAACCATAAATGTCATTTGCTAAGAAAAATATTAAATTATAACAAAATATTTAAAAGTACAAACAGAATTCTAAACTCAGATTAGGTAAACGTGACAGACCTATCGCTTAGGCGCCAACTCTCCTAAACCTTACGTAGTTCAGTAGACAATATCTAAAAGCAAATATGGCTGCACTATTTAAAAACATAAAACAAAGAGCGGATTAACGTATCACTTGAGCAAGGTGTTAGTGACTCTGAGCTGACATGATTTATAATCACAATCTGTGTTTTACTTAACCGTTTTACTTGCTTTGATTTGGCAATAGCTGACAAGAAAGATGACGTTGTAATCACTGGGAATTTTATCTAAACTGTCGTAACAGTAGCTCCTATTTAGCAAATGGTTTAATATATCATTTTTGTTGCTAGTTTTATAAAAATACTAACGTGTTCTTGTGTGATGTAATCACAGCCAGCCAGAACTTTATTTGTTTAACAAGTAGAGCAACGTTTTCTCATCAGGCCACTGTCGAAACCTTTTAGAACAACCACTTAGTCCATATTGGTATGCCGGCGTGCTGTTAAAGCGTTGTAGGTGGATGCTAATTGCAAAGACGCCCTTCCCGCTCATTGTTTTAGAGCAAGCCATGATTGAAGTTTCGGTGGCGGCGAAGAAGTGATGCTCACTAACCACCGAGTAAACATGTGCTCGCATCAGAACCACATCGGCCGCTCGCGCATGACACATACATTAACAACCGGCCTAATATTTTCATAATCTAATGGCGATGTTCTGTGAAACAATGCTCGCTATTTGTTCTAACAATTATCTACGTATCTGTTACCAGTTAGACCGACCTTTTTAAAATCGTCTAAAATTGTTTACTTTTCTTTTTTTATTTCCATTGACTTTCTTAACTATGCTTGTAAAGTGTATTTTAGGTAATTATTTTTTGTTACAGGTAACGCTAACTCAGATTTGTCGTGGACAAGATAGGTCTTCGGGGCCTCATAATTTTCATGAACCAACAGAGGAAACTCGTCGTAAATTTGAATCTTGGTGGAGTGCCCAAGTTTCACCTCGTCCCCCACCATTCAGTCCTCGGCGCTACCCATCTCCGGGTCCTAAAAATCGATCCCCTACACTTAACACCATCCCAGACCATCTTCACCCAGCACTACAGACCGTTCAAAATCAATATCCAACACAAAAAACTCGAATGAGAACAAGTTTTGATCCTGAACTAGAACTACCAAAGTTACAACGTTGGTTTTCTGAAAATCAACACCCTAGTAGGCAGCAAATCCAACAATATGTCAGAGAGTTAAATAATTTAGAATCAAGACGGGGACGTAAGCCCTTAGACGTCAATAATGTCGTTTACTGGTTTAAAAATGCAAGAGCGGCTCAAAAGCGGGCTGAGTTACGCAATATAGGAGGGATTGGGGGACATCTTGGTGTAAATGGCTTTAATAGCAGAAGTCACAGTCCATCGAATGGATCACTCATGGCTGGTAATGATAACTATAGTTCTCATGACCATAATTCTTTAAAGAGTCCCATGCAATTATCAGGAAGCCCTGGTAGATACCCAATGTCAGTCATGTCTGAAGACAACCTGTCAAACGCCGGATCTGATTTGGAAGACGACGGTGGTGACTTGAATAATGAAGAAAGACCAGAGAGTCCGGATGCTCCACTTTCCCTTATTACGACAAGAAAAAATAATAATGAGAATGACAGGGAGGATGCCCCAAAGGAATCTCCGAAACCTCCTGATATAATCAAGGTAAATATTATAAAGTTATTATTTTTTTATATTTATCTTACCTTCTTATATATAAACCTATTTATATAAACCTACTTCGTGACAACATGCTTAAACGTTGAACCTTAATGTTTTTTTACATACTTATGATTTATTTAATTCCAAGCATATCAAACTATATATAGAATTTATAAATCTCTCAAAGAATAACATAAAAAATAACATGAAATATAAAAATCAAAAGAATGTTGTGTTTTAACATCCAATAATATTTTTAATAAGGTTCAATATTGAAAATTATATTTTAATGGTTACGGTATTTCTTAGATTTATATTAAATTTTTGTTACGAATTTTTCTAATAAATTCATATTTTCAGGTCCATGATATCAAACAAGAGCCAAAGGACTTAAGCAAACAAGAACAAGTGCACTCACCTCAGCGTTCACCAACCAAAAATAGTGACAGCTCTCACAATAACAATAACAACAATGAAGATGAAAATGGAGCCGCCGAAGATCACGACATTCCTTCAGATGAAGAAGTTGTTCAAGAGCGTCATTACAGACCATCGTCTCCTCACCTCGACCGTTTACCGTTTCCAATGGTACCAAATCATCCCATGTTCGGTCACGGTATTATGTACATGAGCCAATACATGGGAGGATTCCCAGGTGTAGGGGGTGTTCCGGGTGAAGGAGCCAGCGGCTTAAATTTAGCCCTAGCAGGCGCTTCTGATGAACGCCGCAAACGCAACCGTACCTTCATAGACCCCGTCTCTGAGGTACCCGTATTAGAGCAGTGGTTCTCAATGAACACGCATCCTTCGCACAATCTCATACTCAAATATACAGAGGAGTTGAACAGGATGCCATATAGGCAAAAATTTCCTCGACTGGAATCCAAAAACGTTCAGTTCTGGTTCAAGAACCGTCGGGCTAAGTGTAAGAGACTGAAGATGTCTCTTTATGAGCCGACTTCACCTGGTCATTACTCTCACCCAGGTCATCCTCACGCGATTGCTGAACGAAAATTGGTGTAAACTGATATCAAAGTTGCATATTATGATAGAGTGTATAGCAATTCTCTTGTGTGTTATAAGTGTTGGAAGTGTGTACTCATGAAACTCACATGAAAGACTGAATTCGGTTATGGTGAAAAGTGCCATGTTAGTGCTACGTGGGATTGTTTACGACCTCTGATAAAAATGTACTTTAAAAGATATAGAAGTCAAACTGTTCGTGTAGTTAAATATAGTAATAAGTTTGCTTTGTATGTAAAAATATTATTGCAATATATATTAACGATATATTCGAAAATACACGTTACAAAGTAGATGAATCTCAAATGTACTAATCAGTACTCCTGTTTTGTATATTATTATTTTTAAGTTTTATTTATTAATTATTTCCATAGATATAAATGAATGCTGTAAATGTTAGTGAGGTAAGGATTATAAAAAAATCATTCAATATGTTAAAATATTTGTACAACTTATACAAAAAAGATCTATAAAATAAAAAATAATATAAGTAAAAAAAATACGAATAATTGACGAGTCATTAAGTTATTAAGATAAAAAAATTATATAACACATCTAAATGTATATTCTGTCTTAGCCTTCGAAGGGCTACATTATCACTTAGTACATGTATGTAGAATAGATAAGTGATGAAGATTGATATTTACGCACATTCCTTCTCATAATAAGTAGATATTAATCATTCAATCCAAAGATTGATTATATATAATTATAAACCTAATTCACAATAGCACACTAAGCCACTGGTCCTACTGAGCAATGTGATACAGCAAAATAAAGAAAAGATCCAAAACTCTTGATAACGAGATTTTTTATTGTAATAATGTATAGGCCTGTCAGACATCGCTTAGTTCAACTAACTAGTAGACATTGTATGAAAGTAACTGTTGCAGTATTTGTGCATTTATCAATTGAGGCTGTTCTTACAATAACGGTTTCTTGTTTTATAGTTTTAGACACACTAGTGGTAACCGCTGGCGAATTGTTTTGTTATTCTATGTTATGCTTGTTTTGTGAAGCTGTGATGATTCCAAATAATGTAAATATTTTATTAATGTTAAATAAGGTTTTTATCATAAAGCAAAACGTCACTAAGCTCACAAGAATATTAAGCATTAATTGCTTAGGTATTGAGAATAATTGGCTAAATGTTTACTCCATTCAATTATATAAACGAAAATTTAATGAATATAGTACGATATTGAATATAACTCTTTTATTTATTCACCTTTCACAGATATTATAAACAATATATAATTGAAAAAATATATGTTACAGGCGATGTGTGGAGATATTTTTATTTCTCACACTTAAAATCACACAAAAATATATTAATATATAAAGGTACTACAGTTGATGTGTTAAATGATTCACGGAGATACAGATTGTCTGATTCTTTGCTAATTGGTTTAATTTTTAAAACTTTTATATTAAGAAACATACAACATAAAATAATAATTTCAAGAACCTTCCGTGTTATTCGTACTCGTAAAATATAGACACAAATATAATATAGCAATAATTATATATATATGTATATATATATATATATATATATATATAAATCTTAACACTAAATTATATTATATTTCTTCCACACTTCTATCGCTAACTTAGCACACAAGTTTTTATTCTAATTTACTGAGTATTTGTTTAGATATTTCTAATTTAATTAAAGTTGAATTTTGACAGAGGAAGCCCACTTTTATGAAGTATACAAAAAACAACCATAAAGATAATTTCTATTATCATCATAAAAATAAACATGATCTGTCTTTGTCTTTTAAGATGCATCTTCTATTACATTGTTGACAATCTTTGTCCATTATTGCATGTCGTTGTACATACAACAATAGGCGGAATGGGCAGAATTTAAACCCATTTGGTGCAGTTCGACGCAGCTTGACTCGACTCGTGTTAGCTGAACATGTAAAATTTACATTTGTACTCATTCTTCAAGTGTTTCTCGATATTAGTGCTTTGATTACTTCTTTAAATAAATGCTGTGTGGAATCAAATTATTCAATTGTTATTATTATTCATTATTTATTCATAAGTATCTACACACAGATTAAACTTTAAAACAGTCGTATATCTTGTCTTTTATTTTCTATTTATGTATATTTTACCAATTATTAAGTCAAGACAAAGGACTCGAATTTAAGGTAATATAATATACAAAGAAAGTTAAACAATTTTTTTATATACTTACACAAAAAAACCAATAACAATATAACAAACAAACAATATTCTTAAAAAATTTACGAATCCTTATATGAAGATCTTAAAAATGCTTAATTATCGTTATATGAAAGATACTTAGTTGCTATAATAATTTGATATAGAACATATTGTCTATGGAGGACAGGGAACTTTATCCAAAACTTAAACCGAATTTCTGAAATGATAAAGACGATCGTTCACTGGCGAAGTGACGACAAAGATGTCTGCAGATATCGGCACCGATTACGAATGTTTGACAGGTGATTTGGGTTCCCGACGTCTTCCGCCGTCTCCTCTGTACCATGCTTTAGTTATTGGCTTGTTTGATATTTGTTAATAGAAATAGTGTCACTGCTAACAAACCTATAGCGTGCTAGCTAGTAAGTTACCACTGTGAAATCATCGAGTCTTGTGTCCAAGTTTTTGATTTTTTGCTGTAAAAACCGTCTACTATAAAACGATTCTATATTGTTTGTGAAGAAACACATTAATTATACCGAATAATATTATTATAACACATTAATGTTTCAATTGTATGATCTGCAATTTTTGATTCTTAAAATCAATATCATTTTTGCAAATGACAAGTATGAATAAAAAAAATGGCAACGCCTAGATACTTTAACTATCTTAGAATTTGCTTCATAGACAAAGAACTCTTTAACTTATGTTTTACATACATAGAAAATTTTCTTGACTTCGATTTTTACCCTGGGCATATGTCAATAAGAAAGAAACTATTTTATACCTCAAAACAGAAGTAACTAACACTCAAACTGATATTTGTAATTAGTATATCAGATAGCGCAATAAAGGGTAATATTAAAATACCAAAAACATTTAGTCATCGGTTGATATTTATGTCACCAAAATAAAATAATATTTCAAATAACACTTTCATAATTTACTTAACAAAACAAGAATCAAACTTTTTGCTTTACTTAAAAGACTAGGCGCTATAAATATGTGATGTATGAAAAATTAAAAACTAAGACATATATGTATTTAGAAACAACTTTTCTTTATGAAATTTATTACATTGATTTAAGTAACAACTATATACATTACAAAATTATAATGTTAAATGTATGTAAATTTTGCTTACAAGCATTTAGAACTAATCTTATTTTAATTAACGATTGCCTCTGTACATAGATATTTTATTCTCTCGGTAATATTGTTGGGTATCATGTTTTAATCTAAACAAACTGCCTCAAGTGAAGCCGCGCATTTATGTTAGTTAACCATGGATTATGACGTCCTGTTATGAAGTAATTTATTATGCGCTAAGTAACGAGCAAGACCATCGTCTTTACTGAGACTTTCTAGCGGACATAAAGAACAAAATGCATCAAAAAGAACTAAAAGTTACGTTTAATGTATGATACCATTCATATCATAATTTACTAATTAATATCATTAATTTTGGATGTAACTGTTTCTCAATTCTTATTACATTTTCTAAGACCGGGATTTGTTTATTACATAAAACGAAACAATGTAATTTAACTGTACATTACCTTCGCTCATATAGTTAGTATCTCGATGGGATGATCATAAAAATACAGACTATTGCTGCTATACTGGATAAACTATTTGTACAGCGTTTAATTTGAGATGGCTATTAAGGAAAGTGTCATCCGCGTTCAGGAAGTGGTCTCTGTCTATAATAAAACTCTTAAGCTCTTTGCTGCTCCGAAGATTTACGCGACTGACTTAATACACCGTCATATCAGTTGGGATGCTGTCCTGCTAAAAGCGAAGCGATTTTTTTATATCATTTACAAAAAAATCATCAAAATATTCTATGTAAAATAATGTATTATTCTAGAAAATTAACAATTCGTGTAATAATTTTTTCAGCACGTACTTTTATGTGTTACATTTATTGTTTCAACTTAAATCTATCGCGACATCGTAATTTAATATGAAAAATCGCTTACGTTCTAGAGCTACGTCCTTATAAGCAATCTTCGAGCGACCCAAACCTTAGTTATGATATAACAAGGCATCGGCTAAGCCGAGTCTTACAGTAGACTTTATTAATTGACATGGCATTTTTACCCTCAACTTGAACCCAGAGGAGTTTGTTTACGAGAAATCTTAAAACTCTTATAAAATACTGTCAAATCAGATTAAACATAGATATATTTATGGCCTGTCTTTATGTTTTAAAAGAATAGAAAGAGTTTAATTAAATAAATAATGCGAGTTAAATAATTATAAAGTAATTATCCTTTTAGTAAAGGGTTAATTGCAAAATGTATTAAGTGTTAAAACCTCAGTATTAAAATAGGTGTAGGATATAATTGCTTAAATAAAATACATTATATACATATATAAATTTAATAAGTATATAAAGTGTAGTACGTATAAAGAAAGCTCATTTACTCAGAAAAACACGGGAGCTACTTGGTTTAATAAGCTGCAATTCTCATAGCCATAACTCAAGTCTGATCCTCACATTGACTTAAGAAGATGAACCTCGACGTGTTTTCTTAGTAGATATAGTTTGTTATATCTTTATTTATAATTATAATAAATACTTCTTACTGGTTGGACTATACAAAATTATTAAAAACTATTAATCGATTAAAAATATATAATAACTTTCAAGTACGTTTACATTTTAAATAAAATATAATATATTAATAATATTTTACAAACATTTGAATATATTTTTATAAATTATTTAATATAAAAGACAAGTTCCTAAACTGTGTGCGTCTTGTTTATTTCTGAACGGTGGAGTCTCTCGCTGGTCGGTGTAATCTCAA